ATAACATCTCTTCAAAAATATACAAACAGACTCAATGAGGTACCTGTCCAGAGTTCCACTAATTACAAAAGTCAAACCAGCTAAACAGTTTGGGGCACCTTCAGGAACTTCCTGCAAAGTGGAAAGACCACAATTTTATTAACTCGGACAACTTCTTACTTGTAAAAGAAAATAGCTTCAGCAAGGCTTCTACCTTTTCCCCCTTGTGAGGAGGGTCTTTTCTTTCACCAAAATTCATGAAACCGCCCCGTCCTCCACCACCTCTGTCTCGTCCACCACTTGGTGCTGCAGATGGTCCTTTACCACCACGCCCTCATCCACCAGATTTGGTGTCCTTATCAGCTGAGGCATCATCATCACTTTCATCAAGAGGGATGCCTTTCCCACCAGTCTGAGCTGCTCGTCCACCACGCCCTCTTCCAGTAGGTTTGGGATCAGATTTTGTATCCTTAAGATCATCGTCACTTTCATCACTGATCACAGACTTCCGTGCAGATCCCCTGCCAGAGCCACTTGCCGACTTTTTGGCGGGAGTGGCACCTCTGGATCCCATTGCAGATGCAGGCAGTACAAAGTCATCGTCATCCTCAGCTTTGTGAATTCTTTTCGCAGCTGGTGGCTTCTCATTAACTGATGAACTTCCACCAGCATTTTGAGCTTTTCTTTTTGCTGATACTTCCTCTACTTTTTCTTCTTTTGCCTTCACCTTGTCTGTAGCAAAATATTTACTAGTTTTCCTTCTGCCGGCAGTCTCTTGTCCTTCTTGTACCTAGTGTCCATTAGATGCAATAAATAAGATTAACAAAACAAAAGATGTTGTTGTCCGTAGGTTCTCAAAGTTCAGAAATTGCATTAGATAATCCAGTAGAAACATTCCACCATCTCAAAAACTCTACCTACTAGCTAAAAAACCCAACGATGAGAAAATATTTATAAAAAAAAAAATAAACAAAAAAAAAGCTAAAGATCAACAATATTTTACAGGACTTATTGATGGTGACCAACTTCTATTTTACTGCAAAAGTTAGAAACAAGGAGTTAAAGTTCAGAAGTTTAGAATTCTTAATATAGGTGAAAATACTAAGTTTTCATGGTATTTCCGAATGACCTTCAGATTAGTTCAATTTCCCCCTAATTTTCTATCATACTTTGTAATGGTTCTAGGAAAAGCTGAAAGAGCCACAACGTAGAAGACGAGATTTGCCAAGTGTCTTGATGCTGAAGTTTTTATCAAGCACTTGACATATAAGATTTCCCCAGAAATATGTAATCAAGATATCCCTCTATTTCTTAAATGGCTAGGTAAGCGATGAACTAAATCACATGCATATAAAAGGAAGAGCTCAAGATCTGAAGCCAGCAGATCCAGCCATATATGCATATTATTTGCAGATTTTATAGTCATAACTCAAAATAGCTGGAGCCATCATTCAACAACGTGAAGGAATACATAAGGAGCAGAATTGCAGCTAATAAGAAAGGCCCCAAGTATAAGAGAGAAAGACAGAAACTCTCTAGAGTAGATTCCTTTCCACTATTTCCCGTTATCAAGTATATTTCTTTATTCAGTATTTACATTGGTTATGGATGGGTAGAGTTAAAAGCTATAGGTTTTAGGTAAAAAAAATGTCAGCTTTCAATGATTTGCTGGAACTACTAGCAGTGTCCCAAACCCCGAATTGGTGTCAGTCTCAGTTCTGGTGACTAACTGCCCCTGAAATTTTGACAAACCCCACAGGGATTGTTACCATTCATTCTATTTCTTTATAGCTCATGAACTTATTCAAATTTTAAAAAAGTTAAGAGTGGCAGCTAAAATGAAAATTACACTCATCTAGACTTGATATCATATTTCACTTTCCGTCTTTTCCAAGCTTTACACCTTTTTCTTCCCTTTTAGACGTGTTTAGCTATTTGCACGCAATCCACAAGAAAAAAACCATACCAAGTAAGGGGGAAAGTAGATCTATTCTGACTCATCTGTTAGATTCATCGCTTTGTTGCTTTCATGTTTCAAAAAAACCATTCCAACAAGTAATCTGTTTCTCCCTCAAATGACTCCATTCCATTTCTTTCTTTCGGTTGCTCATAAAATAATTGAAGTAGAAGTCCATGGTCAAGGCAATCGATAGAAAAGAAATTACTCTCAGGAAATCTCAAAAAGAAACAACAAGCCAGCCCCACCATTCCAGGCAATCGGAACAGGTTCCAAGAAACAAGAAATAGGTAACTACATTAACAAACACTTAAACCATACGAGAGGTCAACGAGAAAGCAAGTGAAATTGGAAGAATGATCTAGCTACAAAATACTTACCAGGTTTCCTGGAGAAGGCTTTTCTGCTGAAGGCTTTTCTGGAGCACTATTCTTGGACATACTCCCATTACCCGTACCTTTGTCATGCTGCTTCATGAACCATTTTCTGATATCTGACTGTATTACACAGAACTATACCATCAAACTCTTAAACCATGCATCTCAAATTCTAATATTTGACAGACACAAAATTCATCACATACTTCAATCTGAAAATCCCAGAAACCCACAACTTAACACTTGCCA